CGTGATCTCGATGAGGCAACAATATTTTGTATTTATGGCAAACCTATTAAGGCTATTTGTCGCTGTCCCTAACTTTGAACTACTGACCAGAGGAAAGGTAGACTGTCAGAATCACCCCGCCACCACCACTGCACCCTAAGGGATTGTCTCTGTCATTCTTATAAGGAATATTTTTTTGGTTTCGCACTGGTTCGAATCCGGCTCGACAGCTCGGAAATCTATAGTTCAAAAGGAAATACCGATAAAGCCCCCCCCCAGTGGCATAGCGGTATGTCTGCGGACTTACAACGCTAGAATCCGGGTTTCGATACCCGTGGTGGGCAGATCACAGATAGCCCACTGTATAGCTTTGTGCTTAATTACAAACAATACCGATAAAATAGAAACAGATATAATAGTTTCGATAATAATGGGAACAGTGATGATGCAAACTTGTTTTTACCCAAAGGAAAAAAAGTACAATATAATTGTACATTTAAGATTTTTATGTACATTTCTTAAACTTTGAATTATTATTGGGGTAATTTTTACCAGTGTCCTTATCATCCGTGTTAATTTTAATGGTCTGTTTTTACACATTTACATTATTACCAGAAACCATCACTGACATTGATTTTTTTTCACACTACTTTTTTTCTTGTTGCACCAATTTTTTGCGATGCTGTTGGTTTTGATTCCTTTCTTTTTATAAATCACCCATTACGCTAATTTCGTGCTATATTTGTGAAATGCTTGCTTACTTTGATATCTTGCATGGTCCTTAGATTTGTACTAATGTTTTACTTTCTAGTTAGGCCTATTTTTTTCAATAAATTGGCCGTTACAACAAATGTGTATGTTTTGTTATTTAAAAGTACATCAGGTTTTGCTAACAATACAAACACACGAAACGTACAACATTACTGTAAAGAAAGTACCAGTAAAATACGACGTTATTATTACCATTGTTTTTGTAATATTGTCTGGAGAGTAATGGCTGGTTTTTTTCTAACTTTATTGCCAAAATGTCTAAGTCTCTCCAGTATGCACCAAAAATTCTGAAAAAAAAATATATATCCATTAAGTTTTATCATACAAAGTTTCACTGTTTATATAAACTAGTTTTAACTTATTGTGTGTTTGTACAACTTATCATGTCCCCCAGTGTCACAGTGGTATGTCTGTGGACTTGCAACGCTAGAATCCGGGTTTTGATACCCGTGGTGGGCAGAGCACAGATAACCCATTGTGTAGCTTTGTGCTTAATTACAAACAAACAACTTATCATAAAGCAATAGTTTTTGCCGATTTTATTTGTTTAATAAATTGACTTATTTTATTTCTGGATTAATTGAAAAAAAAAAACGCGGTCATTTCTTTAGGGGATTCTTAACAGGACTGACATAGCCTAGGGATAAGGGCGTTCGACTCGCAATGGGGACGGCTAGTGCAGATAGCCCTCGAGTAGCGTTGCGCGAAATTCCAAAACCAAATAAACAAATAAGCATCCTTAACCGGAGAAAGAGGGCTAAATAGAATCTCAACCTCCCAGATCGCCCACAACATGACCGGAACACCGATACAGACAGACACATCCTTAGTTTGCTACTCCCGTTCTCGTCGTATGGTACTTGTTACAGCCAAAGGGCATCTGGTAACAACGGGCATGTAACAATGATTCCGATAATAAAATTGGATAATAAAATGCAAAGTATGAAAAAAAATGTAGAAATCGTAAACATATAGCTTTTCCGTTTATTTGTCTTTGAAATGGTGTTGGTGGGGGTGGAATAGTAAAATATTATATCATTGTCGGACCATTTCCACTGGATTTTTGAACATCACCAGAAATAACATTTATTAAAGCTTTCTCACACTTCTTCAGCTGTAGTTAAAACATTATCAATGGAAAATTGACACACAGTTATTTTATTACAAATATAATATTACTCATACGGTGACGTATAAGACACAGGTGTGATCACAAACATTTAAAAAAAAAGTAAACCTGGTAAGTATGTTTAAAAAAACGAACAAAATATTTAACAAAACCATCCGCTAATATTTTAGTTGGACTTTTGCAAAAACCAGTCATGCGAATCAGAACATTACTCATCTCCTGTCCCCCCCCCCAGTGGCACAGCGGTATGTCTGCGAACTTACAACGCTAGAATCCGGGTTTCGATACCCGTGGGGGGCAGAGCACAGATAGCTCATTGTGTTGCTTTGTGCTTAATTACAAACAAACAAACAATCATTTGCTGTAATGTTCACTTTGCTTGGGATGTTATGGTAACGTTGGTTAATCTATTACTTAAAATATCACGTCTTTGATGGTTGATCATTGTACAATACTTTTGTCAGGACTTTGACTGTTGACTGCTATACGGTACTTTATTAAAACCTTTATGGTTTACCATTAAACATTACTTTTGTCACGACTTTTATTGTTGACCATTATACAGTACTTTTATTAAAACCTTGATTGTTGACCATTGAATATTACTTTTGTCAGGACCTTGATTGTTGACCATTGAACATTAATTTTGTCAGGACCTTGATTGTTGACCACTACACAGTACTTTGATTAAAACCTTTATTTTTGACCATAGAACATTACTTTTGTCAAGATCTCGATGGTTGACCATTTTCAAAAGGTAAATCAATTAGTTCTAGGTTGTCACTTTAATTTTTTATTAAATCAAGAGAAAAAACAATTATGTTTATCACAAGAGTTATAAACTCACTTAATGCGAATATTTAATATTATTTGTTCTGTTCAAAGTAAAATATAATTATATTAGTTTAATATAGTAGGTTTTGGCTCGGCATGGCTACATGGTTAGGGCACTCGACTCGCAATCTGCGGGTCGCGGGTTCGAATCTCCGTCACACCAAACATGCTCGCCCTTTCAGCCGTGGGGGGCGTTATAATGTGACGGTCAATCCCACTATTCGTTGGTAAAAGAGTAGCTCAAGAGTTGGCGGTGGGTGGTGATGACTGGCTGCTTTCCCTCTAGTCTTACACTGCTAAATTAGGGATGGCAGGCGCAGATAGTCCTCGTGTAGCTTTGGGCAAAATTCAAAACAAACAAACCATAGTAGGTTTTTGACGTGAATGATACAATACCATCGTGTTTCACAAGGAATTATCACGATGGCCTCATACTAATATAATGATATGTTTGCATCCTTACTATACTGATGGACTAGGCATGGCTGGCATGCTGTACTTTGAATCTGAATGTTCATGGCTTGCTGACCGTTGCCAAAAAAATGTACTCCGTACTCCGGGAAGGTAGGTGTGCTATAAGAGTGACGTTCAATTCCCACTGATCGGTCAGTCAAAAGTAGCCCAAAAGTTGGCAATGGATGCTGTTGATTAGCTTCCTTTCTTCTTGTCTACCAGTTAAGAACAGCTTTGCGCAGATAGCCCTTGTGAAATTTTGAACGAAATTTTGAAACAAACAATTATATTGGGAATATAATATGAATTGACGAATAAACTTTGATATTAGGCTATCCGAGGGATTCAAGTTTGGGGAAAAATCAATCATAAATTTTCAATATCAATTAAAAAACAAAACAATAAATTTAATGAATCAAAAAGATTGTCATTATTACCAATAAAAACGTGAACTTTAACTTTTCAGCGTATGAGATTATTTAAGGTTCAATGAACTCTTCATTGACAGAGTAGTACCGGGAGTTTTATAATAACATTCGTCACGAACGGGTAATGTCTACATGGACAATACGTTACCATGTGAACACGGCTTCTGACTTATTGTCGTACGAGCGTGCCACAAATGACTTCTTGTAGCTGGTGGTAATTCATGCCCGAATTGTAAACCAAATCTCTTAAATCATCAGTAGGAAAAACGTAATTCTCTGTGGCTAAATCAATTTTTCCTGACGAGTTACAATATCGCAGTCTTTGTTGTGCTTATGCTATTGTACTGATGCAAGTGGCGCTAATGTAATAATGCTGGTGTATTTTTAATGTCTCTCGTTCTACTACTGAGGAAGAAATGCCACTAAGAGGACATCGTTGTTCTGGTCAAACTGGTTTATTTTGTTTAGAATTTTCGCGAAAGCTACATATAAGGCTATTTGTTTATACCGTCCTTAATTTTGAATTGATGAAGTAGAAGAAAGGCAGCTAGTCAGCAGCACCCACCGCAAATTAAAAAAAATCGTTCATTATTCCTTTAATTTTATTTGATCTCAGTGTTTTAAAATAGAATACATATTGTTATTTTTACATTTTAATGACTAGGGAGGATTTAAGTTGGAATTACTGGACCAGAATGAGCGCCCTCTAAAAGATTTAACTCCGACAACCGAAGAAACCAATTATATTGGTTCAGAAGATTCAACGTGAGTACATAATACTGTTGTGAAAGACTGTTTTATAAGTATGTTGTTACATTTGAATTAGTATATAACTTACTTTAACAGAAGATTAATAAAATACTCCATGCAACTGTTTTTGTTTTTGTTTTAGTGTTATTTTCGTGGTTTTTTAAGAATTCTAGACAAACTTATTGTTGACCGGGACTGAAGTTCTAAATTAAAAACTAAAATCATGAATTAATTTGGAGTACTAAAAATATGTTTTCGCTTAAAGTTAATTTCATGTAGTTTACTTACATAGGTATATACCTTAAAATATAACTAACTTAACATAAATAAATTATGATGTAATATTTTGTGACTCTCGGTCTTCATTTAGCTATATTCTAAAAACGGGGGATAGATCGACATTCCGAAAGATTATTATTATGAAAATTTTTACATAACTTTCCCAAAGATCATAAAGCTTTAATTACAGATAACTAAAACACAGGATTCTGGAATGATTACATATGTATATACCTCAAAATGTTATCGTCTTGTGTCCATAACATTGTTGTGACGGATTTACTATTATATATATGTTTTAATATCGATATTTGTTTAAGTTGAATTTATATTTATAAATGTGCATAACTTATACTGTTAAATATGTATTACGAAACTCCTGCTTATTCTCTAAAGTTGTAGAAAATTCTCGAGTATAAGAATCAACAATTTACGTGTGTACATAAACGCTACTGTAGCGTTTGTATTGTTACGTAATCTGAAATTTCGAGAAACTCTCCACACACCTATAAATATAACCAACGCGACGCGCCTAAAAACAGTATTTATTATTGGTTTGCTATAGTTGGTGTGCTATAAATTTCGGAGGCTATAACTGTGATTGTTATAACATTACAAACCATTTAACTTCAGTGAATTCACATCCGACATTATTACTTTTACGAATACATTACCTAACGTCATCGGTAGAAAAAATTCGGCGTGTGATCAGTGATGACCACACAGCTAGCTAGCTCCCTATCAAATGAATTATACCTATATCAACTCGTAATTAACTTACTCATCGTGAATCATCGAAGACATCAAAGAAGTTCCAGTCCAGAAAGAAAACTCGATATTATTTGTAAGTTTGTAAAACTTTTGTATATAAATCATTGTTTGTAATAACCGTTGTTGTAAATTGTATTATTGTTTGTACACAGCGTGGTCACAAGTAAATAGACACCACCTTTTCAGAAAAAAATGAACATTTTCAGTCGTATTCACATGAATTGATATATTTATAATTTTATTAATATCTAGTAGATCTTCCTTTCGCTTCGTGGAGTTCGTGAGAATCATCTCGTCAATTTTAGATTGTGGAATTTTCGCCCACTCTTGCTTCAAAACTTGGAGTATATCGCTCTTCGAAGTTGGTTTTTTTTTGGTTGTTTCTTGATTTGCCGGTCGAGTATGGCCCAGAGGTTTTTGATGGGGTTCATGTTAGGAGATTGGCTCGGCCAGGGCAACTTCTGGATACCATTTTCTTCCTGCCACTTTTGGATGTTTCTAACAGTGATCCATCTTCCTGGAACAAAGTTGTGTTCTTGTCCACGAAACCCGGGGAATAAAGTGGCAAGAGTCCTTCCTCCAATATTTCGACGAATTTCTCAAAATTTATGTTGCCAACACACTCCACTAAGCTCGATCTCCCACCAATCCAAACAGCTCCCCAAACCATCACGCTGAAACCATCATGCTTCACAGTTGGCTGTAATTTGTTGAGCCAAAACATTTATTGTATTCTGTGACTCTGGTTTTTAATTTTCTTCCCGTTTCTCCGATGTAGAATTCTGAGCAGTTATTGTATGTTATTTTGGTAATGCGTGATTCTAAATAATTTTTGTTTAGTAACGATTTTAATTTAGGGCCGGGAATTTGACGTTGACAGGAATATTGTGTTTAATGGCTAGTTTTGTCCAAATGTGGATAATTCTTGAGCTGGTTTCAGGGACAAAAGGTAAACTGCAGTGTAATGTTCTGTTGTTGGGTTTGTTAGTATAAATTTTGTTCGTGAGCTGAGTTTTGTTGTGGGGAATGTCGGAGAGTTTTTCAGCAATAGCTGGAGGAAATTTATTGGTGTGAATTAAGGAATGCTTTATGTGGTTGATTTCTTCATTTATGTAGTCCGTTAAACAGAGTCTTGTGGCTATGTTTATGAGATTTTTGAGTGTATTGATTTTTTGTGTGGTGTCATGAGCGGAATTCCATGGGATGTAGAGGCCGGTGTGTGTGTTCGTACGATGAATTTTGGTTTTGAACTGTGTGTTTGATCTAATGATGTTGAAGTTAAGAAAATATAACTGTTTATTGTTTTCGTGTTCTATGGAATTTATGTGTTCAAAGAAAGTTAGTAT